TGGACCCCACAGCAGCAGGAGTGGCATGTTGAAAACTGTTCAGATGTGAGAGGAATGTGACCATCATTGTAAACACCATCAGATAGGCATTGAGGGAATCAAACGGCTCATGTTATGTGGCACAGCCAACCAGGAGGGTTCTTGGCTAACATGGGAAAAGGATTCTACCCCAGCTGTAGATATCCTTTTATTACCAGACTATTTTTCGGGGGGGGGGGGGGGGGGGGGAAGAGTAAGAAAAGATGGTTTAGGTAAGCAAACTGACTATAACATTGCATTTCATGGCAACAGAAAAAAATACACTTTAGTTTTAGGAATGGATCTCAGGATTTTCAGGATTACATGCCTGAAGTTCAGTCTTCCAGGGTTGATTCAAAACAAATAGCAAATCTGTTCCTCTGGTCTCTGATAAGAAGCCACTGACAGACATGTGCTGGGCACACAGGGCTTTATCTACACATCTGGTAAATGGTATTAAAGGAAAATCAAGGAGAAAACTGGGGACAAGAGGGATCCTACAGGTGGGATTCAGCCCCTGGTCAAACCCCTTACATTTAGATACCTGTGTGAATATGCTCCATCTGTACTGGGAGAGGAGATTTGGAGATTTAGTCAATACAGACTGAACAACTGCAGAGCAAGAGCAGTGATAAACCGGGTGTAAAAGAGCAGCAGCTCTTTGGCATTAAAAATAAGCCTTCAGCCCTCACTACTGGCAGTATGAATTTATGAACACAGACACACACACACACACATCATTCTGTTAGTTAAAATATCAAGGAATATGGACATGGACTTCAGAGGCAACTCATCAAACCAACCAGGCTTCTGTATGATGCTGGAGTCAACTCACCTCTGCATTTCAGATAGACTTGGGCTGCAAAAAAATCCCTGTGTAGAGCTCTGCTTTATTGTGTGCACCACAATGAACTCCAGTGCTTTTTAGGGGAAGATTTGGACACAGAAATTCAGTGACTCATTGCGACAGAACAGAACGAATTCAGACAGCTCATCCTTTCTCTGGGTTCACATAGCAATTTAACCCCAATTTTTGTATTTCATGCAGCCTGCTATTACAGAGTCTCTGCATCCTGGCCTATCAGAAACCCTGCTAATGCTCATAATCATTTTCTTGCTTTTCCTGCTTCTCTTTCCTTTGAAAGATTTGTTTTCTGTGCAGGCAAAATGTATGATAAGACATTTCTGGAGCTCTTTAATGGGATTTTCTGTTGTAGACATTACTGAAATGAGCAGATTTGATGTGATGACATTAGTGACCCTTCTGGAAATCTTTGCTCTCTCTTCATTTCATCCAGTGTATTTTTTCACCTGTTGTTGTAGATATTCCTAGCAATGAATTACAATAAATATCACCAATGCCTGCAGATCCTCTGGATGTCTTTCTGATAGCAGACTGCACAAATGCTTTATTTTTCAATCCGTTTACCATGAACTTGTTTTCCCTGCTTGCCGGCATCGGAGAAACACTTGGAATTCCAAATGCTGAAATCAAAGTCGCTGCTATTGTTTAAAACATGCAAGAAATGTATCACTTATTCAAATGTGAGGTTTGCAAATCATTGAATTTCATGGGAGATGAATCGTTAGTCAAAGTGCAGACAGCACTAAGGGTCATATTTAATTTATTTTCCAAGCCTTCATTCCTGCTTTTTGGTCCAGTAGGTTATAAGTTATTCAATACACAAAGGTGTCTACTTATGTCTCACCATAATTAAGCTGATTAAGTCATATTATCACTAACAAGAAGCATTAATTCCGCTCAAGAGAACGCTGCAAACAGATTCAGTGACATTTCCACCACTTAGATTAAAAACACATTACAGACAAAGTGGGGAGGCAAAAGCTTCACTTAGCCCAGGCCTCTTTTTTTCATCTGATCTCTGTGGAGGAGCTGGCAACTGAGGTTTTCAGAGCAATGAAAAGGAGAAAAGGTGCAAAGGAGCAGAGAAAATCAACACATGACGATGCAGAGCAGCTGGCAGTGTGGCAGAGGCTAAATCAGTATGAGAAAACCTAAAGGATATTTATTTGTACAAAACATCTACTGAGATCAAAAAGAAAACAGGAGGAGGGGGTCCAGCCAAGAGCAGGAGGCTGCTCTGCAGGGTCAGGCCAGGGAGATATTTAAGATGCTGAGGCAATTGGAAAAGAAACCAGGATGGATCTTGGCCCAGCCTTGGCTAAATCAAGGTGTGCTCATTCCAGCATCAGCTTCAAGTGAGAAGAGAAGAAAACAAAGTCCTAGCACCTTTGGAGACAGTAATTAGGCACTGAGTGCCACAGACTTTGGGCTGGATGCAGAACCCTCCAAGGGTGCAGGATCACACTGGTCCCCATGGATTGTAGCTCTGCCCTGCTGATACTGACCCTCTGTATCCATGACTCTACCCAGCCTAACCTGACCACATGCAGAGTGCTGTGACCCCACTAAGGTTTCCTGGGGGTTTCATGGAGGCTTCACTGACTTCACTTGACTCCATGGCAGACCAGAATAGAGCTGAGCACCAGCCCCTCCTCTCTGGCCTCTTTCCTCTCTACCTCGGCATTCATTCTGTATCTCTGGTGTACACTTTCAAGTCATTACAGAGCTTCAAGTAATGTTTCCATCCAAAGAGTCTATTCAGCAATAGGAAGAGCACAAAAAAGTCCTCTTTGTGCCGGTGCCCAGAAGCACTATGTGCTTGCCTAGCATGGCCTGCAGCATTTTGCAGCCAACTGCACCACATGGCAGCTTTCCCACTGTTGCAGAAGCAAATCTCAAGCTGGCTGGCAGGTCCCTGAAAGCCAGATTTGCCTCTGGATCTCTGAGAGAGCTGGACTGTATAAGGGGGGTATATAGAGAGCATTCTGTTGAAGTACATCTCCAAAGCAGCCCTCATGCCCAGTGCATTACCCGACTACAGAAACCAGGAGCTAATGCTCATGAACTGTGTAGGAGTGTAAGCAGAGGATGAGTTGTAAAAATAAGTGGTGGTAGGGCAAAGACCTTGCATTTTTAATGACACCCTGTCCCTGTGGGAGATCTTCAAAGGAGATCTCATCTATTAGATGGACGATTCTAACCAAGCATGCCCTTTGAAGAAGGGATAGTAGTGTGGTTGAATTAGGTTTAAGCAAGTGCCCTCTCCCCAGAGGCAAGGCCCTTCTTATTGTCTTTTTTATCAGTATGTTGATAAAGAAGAAAGATCGAAACTGAGCTCTTGTCAGTGCAGGATTTCCTTCCGCTAAGCAAAAGAAGATGCTTGGGGAGTGTTGGGTGCTGGGGCATGGGCTGGGTGCTGCATAAAGCCTGAAATCCCTTTTGGAAGAGGTCTGTCCTGAACATGCAAACCTGGGGACTAGCAAGAGGTGCAGATGTGGGTGTGCATTTATCTCACCTCCTGGGCTGAGGATGGGCAGGAGTAATGGAGAGGAGAGGGAGTAATTTACTGGGTGTCAGTTGAGCCATAGTAGTAGGGGTTAACAAATGCCAAGAAAATACACTGGAGGGTGACACACTCGCGGGGAGGTGGCAAAAGCTGGGCATTTGGTTGCTCAACCCCATGAATTTCCAAAGACAGGGATGTAAAACATCACTTGCAAATGTCTGTGGCTTGTGGGATCAGTTTGGAGATCAATATCCCTTTGGGAAGCCACACCTGGGGATCTGATACAAAACACCAGCTCCATGAGATCGTTTAGATCCTGGATGCCATGAATACGTGCTCTGGATGTATTCGCTGCATGATCTAAACCACAGGGGCTGTGGTGTAGCTGTGTCTTAGCCGCTGGCTGTGCAGATGCTGCAGAGGGGCTGTGGCTGAGCCCCTGTGACTTTGCTGGAAGGGCTACAGTCCTCTCCTAATGCCTGACCAGCACCATCTGAAAATAGCAGGGAAGACACTGCTGGAGCTAAGCCAGGAGGGGAAGATGCTTGCTGCCCCACAGGGAGTCAGGTCCATTTGATGCTTTTATTACTTCTTGAGGCTGTTATTAATTTTATTGTATCACTTTACATAATTCTCTTGTTCTTTTGAAGCAGTGAAACAGGCTAATGCAATACAAAGGTCTGTTTGGGGTTCTTTTCTTACCCTTAACACTCTGTAAAGACCATTGAAAAATGAAAGCAGCATAAAATCCTTCATCCTATTGTCTAATTGGAACAGAGAATATTTCATCTACTCACAGTCAGGCAGACGTGAGTTGGGACTGAAGTCACCAGAAGCAGCCAGGTCCCTTTCATGTCCAAAGCACTGTCCTCCAGTCCCTGACTCTCATGGGGCCCCTTTGAGCATTCCTTGCCCCCTGCTTCCAGTAAAGAGCATTTTATCCACTTGAGGACAAAGACTTTTCTGGGTTAATCCCAAAAGCTGCATTGCAGCTTCCCCAAGCCAGCCACTGAGCAAGCAGGGGAGACAAGAAGGACAGCCATGGCTTGGCTGTCTCGGGACTTCATCCAAAGGTGAACTGCTTCCCACAGCAAGAGTCATCCCAGCAGCAGGTCCAGGCTTACCTATTCTCTGGCAGTTGGTCCATACACCTGGCACACATTCAGGTTTTCTTTGTGACTCCCGAGGCGAGCTGGTGGATGGTGAGCGTCCATGGGAAAGCATAAATGAACCATGGAAAGCAGTGCACAATAACAACATTACTGCCAGATCCAGCCCCTCTCCCCAGCAGTTCAGAGCTCTATGCCCACTCCTTGATGCAGATCCCTGCAGTGCCTCTGCCCAACTGAAGCATGCAGCAAGGAGATGAGTGACCTCTCCAGCACACGGCTCCTCCTGGCTACAACCCCAAAGTGCTCCTGAGTCCAGGGAAAGGTGACCTTGAGCTCCCAAGATTCAGGTAAAATGAATAAAATGAGCTCTCCTGAGCTGCTCCAGCAGCTAAGGAGGCCAGAAGGACACACATGTCTCCTGGAGCCAAGAGCTGTGCTCCATGAGCTGAGCAGCAATTCCTGCTGTCATGTGCAGCTCAGGGACAGCCAGGAGCCAGAGTGAGCTATTAAAATACAATTTATTGGTACAAATCAGACATCGTGAAGCAAACTTGGTTGAGAAAGAGCTGTTGTGTTCTGCACAGATTGGAAATGAACTGTCCTGTGACAGCAGCGATTGGCAATGGTGTCAGACAGACTGGGTGGACAGGTGTAGGGTGGTCAGGGCAGGGGAGAGGCTCTTCTGGGGCTGGATTCCTGCCCTGGAGGGGTTCTGAGAGCCAGATAAGAGTCCTTAAAGAGAAGCAGGGCACAGTAGATGTCTGCCCTATACAGGTGGGGCCCCCAGTGCAGGGGGTCCCCCAAGCATTCAGGACCTGGGGAGAACAGACATCCCAGTGAGGGTGAGGGCAAGGGGAGGAGGGAAGAGGATGTCACCTCTGCTGGGCACCTCTGATGGCTGGAAACTGTCTTTTGTCCAGATGATGTTGCCTTGGGGTAGAGTGTTACCCAGCAGGGTCTCACCTGGTGCATCTCTCAGCTGCTTAAGCTGACAGTTCTGGCCATCCAATCTGTGTGTGCTCAGCCCCTGCTGTTCCTGAAGCAGACTGGCTGTGTCCTGGATCCTGGTTGTGTACTGGATTTGGATCTCCAACCCAGAAAGGGTTGGATCAGGGTTTGAAAAGAAGCACCCATACTTGCTGGGGTTTGCATTCACTTCCCACAGAAGACAGACACCAAAAGCTGCTCTGGACATGCAACACATCCCACTAGATCTCAGGGACAAAGCAATGGTTGCTGTCCTAGTATTTATGGTCAGGCTTGACTGAACTAGGCTTGGTCTGCATACATTTTCCATGCCTACTGGGACAGAAATACAGGCATGCAGCTCAGTACATTCACAGCCAGACAAGACAAAGAATTGACAATGTTTACAGAGATGGACAGTCCCTAAGGGGACGTGGTAATGGGTAAACTCAAGGCAGATTTGCTTTGATCTGGTCATATGGACCCCCAATAGCACCTGCTGCCAACACAGCTCTGCAGGATGAGATGGGGGAAATGATGTCCCCCATCACTTTTTAGTCTCTTGCTCCTTAAATCCTTTCCCCACACTCCTGGTGAGCTCTATCCCAGAAGCCCCCCAAAGTCCTGAGTGGTCCATACATGCTGTGTGCTGCGGGTAGACCTGGCAGCTGAAATGTCAGTGATACCCAGAGTGTGGAGCAGTGCCACCCAGGCCCAGCTCTGGTCCCTATTTCAGGTCGTTGTTGATAACCACATTGTCATGCATGTCACAGTAAGTTGTCATCTTCTTCCTCTTGCCAAAGGTGGAGAAGCTGTTCTTGTTCTCCCGGCCCAGGTAGAGAGGCCCATCCTTGCTGGAAAGAAGAGTAGGGGTGCCAGGGATGTAGACATTGTGCTGGTAATCCAGGGGTGGGATGTGCCCTGGGTACAAGGGGCTGTACTGGGGTGTCCAGATGCTGTTGGTGCCTGCTGAAGCCTTCTGAAACTCTGGAGGAGAGATAAGTGTAAGACTAGCTCAGATCCATAGCTCAGTGTGACAGTCATATACATGTCCCAAGGTGCAAGTCCATGGCCATGTGTCACCAACTTCCCTTCTGGAGCCTGGCCACCCCTCCCACCCCACAAAACTCTGCCACTGCTAGAACAGGGATGTCCCCCCTCTCCTCTGCACCTTCACCAAGCGACATGACAGTCTGGTCTTCCCAGCCCCAGTGCCCCAGTACTAACCAGAGACAGGAGTCACCAGTGTGCACAGCCTCTCGTGCTCCTTCTGGAGGGCTTTACGGATTTCCCCCATGTCCTCCAGGCTCTGGGAGCTAAAGAGGAGACTGATTCAAAGCTGTGCTGGAGACAACCTCCCCATCCCCACATCCCCCTTCCACCCACTCCCTCTGTACCCACAGTGCTGGATTTGGTACCTTTTCAGGGCAGGTCGCTGCATGCTTGGGGTCAGCCAGTCTGTGTTGGGCTGTTTGATCTGGAAAACAAAGGGAAGATCAAGGCTGGTTACTGGGACCCTCTTAATCAACCCAGCCCTGCCAGCACAAGGCTGCAGATGGCAGGGATGCAGGACCCTATCTCCTCTTTCCCTATGCCCTTTGTGGAGAAGTAAGCAGCACATTCCCATTTTAGGGAAACAGGCATTGTTGTTCCCTACTGGACCTTCCTGAGGCACTGGGGTTGTCGGGGGCTTGCTCTCTGTTTAGCTGCCAAAGTCTGTCCTTCTGGGAGAGAAGGGGGCTTTTCCTATTCCTGTTAATATTAAAAAACCTTTTTTGCAGGTGCAATGGAAACAGCCCAAGACTAAGGCACCAAAGAGTGAGAGGTGCAGAAACTGGCTGTATACCCAATATCCCAGGAGGGGGTTGCAAGGAACAACAGGAAAATCCCATTAATGTATTAGAAAGGGAGTCCAGCAGTGCAGGGAGACGTGGGGAGAGCCTCTTGGCAGCCAGTCTTGGGCTCTCCTTGGAAGGGCTGTTTTATTAAAAGTCAAATATAAGTGGATTAGACGCCTCATCACTCTCCAGCCTTGTAATCGTGTTTGTCTTTCATCGGGAAAATGAGACATTCCTCATTTCACTACCTAACAAATGTTGACATCAAAATCCTGCCTTGAAGTGCCCACTCCCTCCCCGCTGGCACAACCCGGTGCAGCACAGCAGCCTCGGTGCCAGAACTGGGGACACGAGTGGTGATGTGGGGCCAGGACCAGCCCTGGATGCAGCAGTAGGACCCTGCAGACTCCCACTGACTCGGGGGAAGCAGTAATGCTCAGGCTGTCCCACTGCAAATTGCTCACCCACATGATGCCACCCCCACCATCCTACATCCCCCAGGCACTGGAGCATCTCCATTGCCTCTAATGGGTGCAAAAGGGTGGGAAGGGACCTCCAGTAATTAGACCTGTCAGAAAGCTCAGTGGAGAGTTTCCCACTGCCTGACGGCTCCTAATTCCTGCACTGATCAAAAGCATCCGTTATTGTCTGGGAAATGCATGGCAGAGGCTGAAGGAGGGGGCTGGGGGAACCTGTCGAGGGCCAGTAAGCACTGACGGGCACAGTGTTACCTGCTTTGAGACCTGGAGATGCTGGCCTGGCTGAGACCGCTTCCCAGAGTCCTTCTCATTGTTCCGCGGGGGGGTGCAGGGTTTGAGGAACATGAAGTCACTCTGTGCAGACTCAGGACCAAGGCAGACCTTGTAGCAGTAGCCCGGGGGACCACCTCCAGGCATGTCGAGGCAGGTGGCAGCCGTGGTCCCTGCAGGGGGCTGTGCTGTCAGGTTTGATGTCTTCAGGCCATCAGAGGAGGGTCTGGAGCCGGGGCAGCAGCCGCAGCAGGGTGGTAAGCAACCACCACCTCCATGGGAGCACCGCTCTCCACGGCACCGAATGGCTGTGAGGATGAGGATGGCAAGGAGGAAGGTGAAGGAGATAGAGCCCAGGGAGACGAGAAGGTAGAGGGTGAGTGGGGAGGATGAGGAAGGCTCCGTGGGGAGGCTGAACTCGCTGAAGCCAGAGAAAGTCTGAGGCATGGTCTCTACCACAGAAAGCAGGAGGGACATGGTGGCAGAGAGGGCTGGCTGTCCCCCGTCCCTCACCTGCACCACCAGCTGCTGCCGGGTCGCATCCTGCTCCAGAAAGGAGCGGAGGGTGCGCAGCTCGCCCGTGTCTGGTGCCATGCTGAAGAGGGTGAAGTCAGTGGCCTGGAGGAGTTGGTAGGAGAGGCGGGAGTTCAGCCCTGCATCTGCATCCACCGCTGACACCGTGCCCACGAGGTAGCCAGGCCTGGCTGAACGCGGCACCAGCTCCGTGGCCACGGAGCCGTTGCGTGGCATGGGGGAAACAATGACTGGAGCGTTGTCATTCTGGTCCAGCACAAAGATGTGGACAGTGACGTTGGCACTCAGTGGGGGGAAACCCGCATCCTGCGCTTGCACCTGGATCTGGAAGCTGCGGATCTGCTCATAATCGAGGGAGCGCAGGGCATACATGTGCCCACTGTCTGAGTTGATAGACACGTAGGTGCCCACCGGCATGCCATGGATGTGCCCATCAGCAATGGAGTAGGACAGGTAGGCATTTTGTTGGCAGTCGGGGTCCAATGCGCTGACAGAGCAGATGGAGGCACCTGGTGCGTTGTTCTCCATCACATAGACACTGTAGGATGGCTGGAGGAAGTGTGGGGCGTTGTCGTTCACATCGGACACTGGGACAGTGAGGGTGCTGCGGGTGAGCAGGGCAGGGGAGCCCATGTCCCGGGCGGTGATGCTTATGTTGTACTCAGGCACAACCTCCCGGTCCAGTGCCAGTGTGGTCACCAGTGTGTAGTAGTTGCGGAAGGAGGAGCGGAGCTCGAAGGGTACATCAGGGCTGACCTCACAGCTCACACGCCCATTGTCCCCAGAGTCTCGGTCCATAACGCTGATGACAGCAATAACAGTGCCTGGTGGGGCATCCTCCAGCACTGGTGTGGACACAGAGGTGAGGGTCACTTCTGGTGCATTGTCATTCACATCGAGGAGGTGCACAAGCACCCTGCAGTGCACAGCCACAGCTGAGGGTCCACGGTCCTTGGCTTGCACATAGAGCTCATGGAGGCTTGTTCGTTCATAGTCCAGAGGGCCCTTCAGCAGCACCTGCCCGCTCTGGGGCTCTATGTGGAAGAGCTCCCGGACGCGCAGTGGTGCGTGCCCACTGAAAGAGTACTCAATCTCCCCATTGGGGCCTTCATCCAGGTCAGTGGCATTGAGCTGGATGACCAGCGTGCCAGCAGGGGCATCCTCAGGAAGGCTGACACCATATGAGGGCTGGTCAAAGACAGGCACGTTGTCATTGGCATCCAGCACCGTGATGAGGATGTGAGCTGCGCCCGAGCGCTCGGGGACACCTCCATCAAGAGCAGTGAGGAGCAGCCGGTGGGTGCGTTGCTGCTCGCGGTCGAGGGCGCGCTCCAGCACCAGCTCTGCAAACTTGCTGGTGTCGCTGCGTGTCTGCACCTCGAGTGAGAAGAAGCCGTTGGGGCTGAGGCGGTAGGTGCGCACAGAGTTGGTGCCCACGTCAGGATCCTGGGCGCTCTCCAGTGGGAAGCGGGCACCAAGCACAGCGGACTCGGCCACCTCCAGCACATACTCTTGCCAGGGAAAGGTGGGTGCGTGGTCGTTGATGTCCAGCACCTCCACCTCGACGCGGTAGAGCTCCAGCGGGCTCTCGACGAGGAGCTGCAGGTGGAGCAGGCAGGTCCCCCCCGCCTCGCACACCTCCTCCCGGTCAATCCTCTCGTTCACGAAAAGGATCCCGTTCTCCAGGTTCACCTCCAGGTGCTGCCTGGCTCCGGCCCGTGACACGATGCGGAACCGCCGCGCTGACAGAGTGGACAGGTCCAGCCCCAGGTCCTCACCCAGATTGGCCACGAAGGCTCCGTGCTCCAGCTCCTCCGGCACGGCGTAGCGCAGCTGCCCTCCCGCCGGGCGCGGCGCCGGGGGCCCGGCCAGCAGCAGGAAGAGGAGGGAGTGGAGGAAGAGCTGCCCCAGCCTGAAGCCGCCCCTGGCCCCCATGGTGCCGCCGCCCTCCCCGGTCCCTCCTCGCCTTTGCTCCCTCCTGCACTTCCAGCGAGTTCGGGCTCCCGAGGCAGGCGGGGGAGGGCTCTGCCCGGAGCTGGGGGGAGCCGAGCCGCGACCACCGGCTCCCACTTAACCCGTTCCCTGCCGGCTCCGAGGAGGAGATATAATTCTCGCCCCGGAGCCACAGCAGAACCGGTTCACCGGAGCTGAACGCACCTGGGGAGGGGGCTAGCCCCGGGGAGGTCCCGTTAACGGCGGTGCGAGCTCCAGCGAGACCGATCGCTTCCCGGGGCACCGGTATTACCCCGCAGATGCTGCGCTTGGCACCGCGGTAGATTAAGAGGAGCCCGGATAGCAGCGGCTGCCAAATCCCCCTGCCGCGTCCCCCGCCGTGCCGGTCCTAACCTTTACCAGATGGTTAAGCCCCTCCAGACTTGATTACATTTCCCTGCACACCGTTTTCCTTGTAATGCGGAGTTTTTAATTACCGGAGCAGGGGGGATTACAACCCTGGATAAAGCTGAGCCCATCAGCGCGGAGGCACAGAGAGACCCCCCCCCGACACCCCGCCTGCCACAGCCCCGCGCCCCTAATCCCGCCCCCAGCCCGGGCACCCCAGTGTCAACCCCTCGGGCGCCCGGGGCTCGATCCAGCCTTAGACCCGAAGGCTTGTGTCGTGTCCTCCCCCACTCCCGTGGGCACAAACTTTCAGCCTAGCCGCCGTCCCCACCGGTCCCCGGAGGGCGACAGACGGACCCTTGCGACCCCCCCGTCCCCTCCCCGCCCCGGTACCGATCGCGGTCCCTCCGCTGGCCGCTCCGTTCTCCCCGCAGACCCGTCTCCAGCAGCCGCCGCGCCCGGGCAGCTCCGCGCGTCGCCACCCACCGGCGCCGTCCCCGGGGGCGCTCGGTAACGGGACGGAGCGGCCGCAACACGCACCCCCCCTCCGCCTGCTTCGGCTGCTGGTAATCCCCTAATGATCTAGTTAAGGGCTCGGCGGGGCTCGGAGCGGCTTTAGCCGTGCACTGATATTTTACCGCCTTTGTCTCTGCCTCACGGTCCCCGGTGGGAACGGAACTGCCGGCTCCAGAGCCCCCCCCCCCCGACCTCCTCGCTCTCCACGGGGACCCGCGTGGGAAGCAGAAACCAGGGGAGAGCAGGAGATGGAGGAAGCAGGAGGCGGCGGGGACCGAGGGGTTTGTGGGGCTGGGGAAAAGGGATTTGTCCCCTGGGAGCACAGCCCGACCCAGTCGGGACGTGCCTCTGCCGTGGGACCGTCGGCTGCGGACACGGGTGGGCTCTGGGCTCTCACGGGTGGGCTCGGGATGGCTCCCGGTAAGTGAAGATCGGGCTCCATCGAAGCGCCGGGCGCAGCCGGCCCGTCTCCCGCCCCATTCCCACGGCGAGAGCCACGATCTGTTTTCTCCCCCTTTATCCTTGCTCTGCCTGGAGCTGGGACCCCGGAGGCGGGATAGGCCTGGGACGCCCGGAGGGCTGCTTAGGACGGAGGAGATTTGGTGGGATACTGAGATTTTCAGGGGTCCCGTTTCCATCCCTCCAGCCCTTCCCCGTCTCCGCAAACGCTCGGAGCGGCTCTCGCCCTTTTGTTCGATTCATATTAAAATATTCATCACCCCCTCCCTGCCCCATTGCAACCTGCTCCCGGCAGGATTCGTGCCCCCCACCCCCCCCCTCCCCGCTCCCTGCCCCATCCTGCCCTTTTCCAGCTCTGCTCGGCGATTCTCCCCCCTCAGCCTTCCATTGCCGCTTCCTTCTGGGGGGGATCTGTCCCGCCCCCCCCCCCTTTCCCTTCCCTAAGAGAAACCACAGGATAGTCCCATCCTGTTCCTTGTCTTCAGCCTCCCAAACACTGGGGTCCCTTCCTTCCCCCCTCTGCCAGCCCCCATGATTCCAAGGGGGACAAGGTCAAAAGTGGGGGGGCTTGAGAAGGGGCTCAGCTTGTCCAAGGATCCCTTTCCTGAAGGAAATGGCATAGGCTGGGGGTCGTTGGGATGCTGCAGAGGGATGGAGGATCTGATTCAAAAAAACAGCCTTGTTGGGGGGGGGGGGGGCGCATAGGAGAGGAGGGTGAACAGTGGGATGGGGGAGGTGGCATGGTGACAGTCCAGCACCCCAAATGACACCTCACTTCATGTCCTGTGGGCTTTAAGTCCCCTCTTCTCTCAGGCATTCAGCCCTGTTCTCTCAGGGTAAGGAATCAGGACACGGATTTGGAAGGCGTTGGAAGTTGGAAGGGGGGGGGTTGGCCTCTGAGATGTCTTGGCACAGGCAGGCGGGTGGCCGGCTGCCGCAGGTCAGCACTGATGTGCCTTGGCAAGGCCAGGCAGAGGGATCAGGGTGGCATGTAGCAGGAGCAGCTGCAGCTTGAGCCACCTCGGAAAAGCCACGCAGAAAGCGAAAGGTTGTGGGACCATCACCGAGCTTCCTGCAGGTACCAACCCCTGCCCAGCACCCCCCTCACTCCGTTTCCCTGCCCTCTGTGTTTTGGGGCAGCAGAAAGGTCTGCAAGAGAAGCTGTCCCTGCCAGACCACGCATCCCTTCCCCCAGTCCCCAAGGCAGCCGTCTGCCCAGCCGTGCATGTGGCTTTGCTGCTCCCTTCTTGCTCCAAGCGAGAGCAGTTATAGTTTGCAGTGCCCAAGAGGGAAACTGCAGTGGGAGGGAGTTCTCCTGGGAGAAGCAGAGAGCGGCAGCTCTGGTCGCACGGCTGGGAAAGTCAGTCCTGGGTTGCTCGTACAGGGTCAGGTGCTGGAGGCTCTGTCTTTGAAGACACGAAGCTCTATGCAAAAGGATGCTCCTTCCCCTCCAAAGCTTTGGCTCCCTGAAGGGGACAGTGGCCATCTCGCTGTGTTTATCAGTGTTGGTGGGCACTCTGCCTGCCCTTGGTGCTGCGATGCAAAACATGAAGCATGCCCAATCTCCTTTCAGAGGCACATGGGGACAGGATGAGAGGCTACAAGCACGAGCTGGAGAAGGGAAATTCTTATTAGGGAAAAAATCTTCCCTGCGAGGGTGGTAAAACACCAGCATAGGGACCAGAGAGGGCAGGAATTGCCATCCTTGGAGATCCTCCTGCACAACCCTATCTGCCAGCCCTGCTCCGAGCAGGGATGCACAAGGGACTTCCAGAGATCCTGAATGATCAAACCCATTGTGTGATTCAGAAAGCCCCAGTCTGTAGCAGAGGTGAGGTGGTCACCAGGGAGAGGGAGACCATAGTCCAGAGCCTTGGCTTCAAGAGAGGTCCTGTGTTTGTCAAGGATCCATCTCTTCACAGATGCCTTGTCCAGAGGTTGGGAATGGAGCAATGAAGGATGCTGGGCTCCATCCCCACCGGAAGTCTAAACCATGGGCTCTGTCCTGCGAGGTGCTTGAGTTGCTCAGCACCCTCATCCTCCCTGGCAGTGATGCAGACCTTTCACATGAGGGAAAGTTGTCAGGAAAACTGTGAAGTTTTCCTGAGGTTCCAGGTGGTTTATAGGCGAGAAGCTGAGGTGTCCAACGCAAGGGCCACTACTGGTAGAGCACACTGGATTCTCTCAGACAGCAGCACATAGGAACAAATCCCCAGCCCCTCTGCCCAGGAGAGATGGAGGCTGAGACACAGGCTCAGCTCTGGGCAGACCCCTGTAGCCATCATCTACCCCTGAGCATTTTCAGGACATTGGGTCCAGTTCTGGCTCTTTGTAGGACACAGACTTCACCAGCAGCTCAGGAAGCCAACGTCTCTGGTCCTGCTTCATATGGGCAAGCCCAAGCCTGCAAGAGGAGCTGCTTCCATGGCTGATGTCTTCTTCCTCTTGAAGTAAGAGACCCCAGACCCAAATCAAAAGGGCTGTGCCCCTCTTAAGTGCTGGGACTTGTACTGCTCTCAGCATCCTCTTAGGGGCTTTCCCCCAAAACGTCCTATGGGATGGCTCCTCTCCCCTGGAAGACTGAGAAGGTAGGGGGTCAGTAAACCAGTAAGGGTGTGCAACAGTGTGATGCTTGCATAGGGGAAGAGGAGAGGCTTTGGGAGAGAGGAAGTGACATCTCTGCTCCATCAGGCACCAGCGTGACTGATCCTGGAACACTGCACGGTGCCTGCACCTGCAGTTCCGAAAGAAGGATGAAAAACTGATTAAAGGCTTGGAAAAATACCTTCCAGGGAGAAGTGGGAGTGAAACTGCTCAGCTCTGTGCTAAAAGAAGCAGAAGGCTTGGTGGTAGGGCCAGGGAGATGTCCCAAGGAAGAAATGCTGGAATGACAGGACAGTTAAAGGCAGCCCCAGCTTCATGCACTGGGCAGCAAGTGGGGATCAGCCTGATGGTGTCTGTCTTTTCGTGTATCCTGTCAGCTCCCAAAGGGTGGGAAGGGGCTATAAGCCCAAGCATAATCCCAACAGCTTCGCTTGGCAGGACTCCATGATCCTGTGCTTAGATCTTGAAGTCTCTTCCCTCTTTTCCACTAAATAGCAGCTGGAAACATTGGAGTTGGGACCCCAACGAGGCCAAGAGACAGGGTGGGTGTTTCCTTGTCCTCTTCCCACCACATCTCCTTGCACCAACACCCAAACAATAAAAGGGTGCCCACATTTCATTTTGAAGTCCCTCATGCCTGGGCTAGGATGGTGGTTTTGGAAGGGAAAGGTAGAAAAAGACACGTTCTCCCTTATCCCCGTTTCTGGTTTTCAGCCATCCTGGATCTCTGGGGAAGAAATTCATGGACAAACATGGGGATGTTTCCTGCTCCTCCATCTCCCCTTTCACATCATTCCTCTGTCCCTGTTCCGAGGAAAGGGACCACCTTTACCTTCCCACCCTCCTGGGACTGTGCATGCCCCCCTGAGACCCCCAACATCCCCATGTGCACCCAGGAGCTCTGCAGATTCTCCAGGTCTCCCCTTCCCCCCCTCCCAGCCCTACTTCTTTCCTCCCTGTCATGGAGCTCAGTCACCGAGGGTGTCAGAGGCACGGTCCCCAGGGAGGATGAGGAGCGTGGAGCTGGGGGTGGTGTTCTGCTCTGAGAAGGCAAAGCTGCCATCAGCAGGCGCTTTGATCTGCAGACAATCACAGACAGTGTAGGACCCTGCTCCGCTCAGCCAATAAATAATGGAATCTGTGTGTTGACACAGACAGATTCCCCCCAAACTGTCAGAGAATGGGAGACAAGAGAGTGAGTGAACGGGAGCTGGAGGGAAGGGGAGAGGAGCAGCCAGGGAAGGGATGAGGAGGGCCTGTGGGAAAACAGGGAGAAGGGGCAAGGGAGGGAAAACAGGACAAGTTTGGGGAGGAAATACTGACGGGGGGAGCCAGGCGAGGAGGAGAGCCTGGGGAGCACATATTTGTAGAGGGGAAGGAAAATGAAGACAGGAACTGTGGGTGGAAGGGGGGGGGCAGCGCTGCCTGCACAGCAGGCTGGAAGCAGAGGGGAAAAAATACATCATCTGAAGGTGGAAAAGAAAGAGAAGGAGGAACAAAGGCTTGGCAGGGCCCCGGGCTGCCTGCGGATCACACGCTCCCCGAGCAGGGACCATGTTCCCCTCTGTGACCGACCCCCCGGCGCGGGAGCTGGGGGTGG